AAATTGAGGAAATGCTAATGGCTAATAGCTTCCTATTTTATCTGGCAAAGGACAGAAAAGGCAGAATCATCTGCATGCCCATGCATGAATACACACACAGGGCAACTCTGCTAAGGCTTGTGAGAAAATTCTGAAATTAATCACAGAAATGCAAGACAAAGTTGGCAAGAAAATGTCATGGAGGTAGCCAGGCTCAGACGTGTCACTCTGAGCAGTAATACGAGTATTTCAGATGACTGGAAGTGAATGTAAGAACTGAAACCCAGCTATGTCACATGAACCTTCTTTCTAATGCTACTATCTCTGTTCATGCTCCAAAGGTTTCAGTTGCCGAATTTAGCATGACATTAATTTGTGTTTCACATCAAACAACGGTCAATAAAGGGCCAAGGATAACAAAATGGCTTATGACTTATTCCTATTATTAAGGTATTTTCCTGATTCAAACAAATGAACATCAAGGGGATTTCTCTCTCTCCAACATAGTCACACACACACACACACACACACACACACACACACACACACACATATAGACATTTCTATTTAAAAAAATAAATGTCTCCCTAATGATTGCCTTTCTTCATACACCCTTTTATTCCGAAACATCTTGGAAAAATGAATTCTCTTTCCTTATTTAGTGCCCTACCTGATCTAGGCTAGTTCTGCAGCTTGTTGTTATGGCTAGGCCTGCCCCTCGAACCCGGGAGGTGCTGGCATTATGCATATTATTACAAGAAAGAACAGAGGAGAAAATCAGGCAGACTATACAGAAAACTAGGCTGCAAAACACAGAAGCATGGTCATTTAGAAAGGGACAGAAGTTTGGCTGTGAAGATAAGTCATTCCCTTCCTTAAACAGGAGGTACTTTGACATTCTTAGCCAGAGGTCTCAATGCATTGTCCCTGTGAACTCAATATGAGCTGGACAGAACTGCACTAAGGATGGATCTGACTAAACATGTTACTGGCAGTGATGGCTACAGTGAGAGACAAAACTTTTAGTTCTTCATCTCCTCAGGAAAGAATAACCTTCCTTTACCTTTTCTTAGCTCTAACATGGGACTCCAAATGGCAGCCTGCAAATGGTATGCCTAGGGTGGTTCCAAGCTTACAGGGCCCCCACTTTGGGCTTCTAAAGTGAAAAGAGTTATCTCTAACAACCTGGGTAAAAATTGTTCACACTGCTATAGATCATAAGTGGGATCCTATGCTAAGTCTTCCTTAGACTGAGAAAGACTTCCTTTGAGGAGAAATATCTGTCAGAAGGTATTCAACATAGTGGTAGGGAATCATAGGATCCAACCCCAGGCCCTCCCGCCAAGCCAATCACAGTATTCTGGGGTGTCGTGGCACTGGTGTGGTACTTGACCACCCTCCTGTTTTGCAGTGCCAGGCTAGGATCACAAACAGGAGGTTCATTGAGCAGGCCATGGTACATAGCTAGTGGGCTGAGCTGGGCTTGCTCCTGGCCAATGTACCCTGTTGATTTGACATGGGGATACCTATAAGATCCCAGTGACTTCTCTGCCATACAGAATTGGGTCTTCAGCCAGTAGCATCTCAGAATGACTTCCTGAAATGCATGTGGAGCATTGCCGCTAGCTGCTCCTACCAACTGAGGACAGGCAGTGAGTTCGTTCTGTTGCTACTCTGCCAGAGACCTCCCCTGCTATTATCCCCCTCCCCCATGAGTGATTGCAAATTCCTAAGCCACTGTAAGAGCATATATAAGGGCAAACAGTTTTCACACTGACCCCTGGATGATTGATACAAACTTAGCTGTGCTTCTAAAATAGCCATGAAAATAAGTCACAGGTACTGGTACGCCATAACCAGCACTGAATTTCTAAACATGCCAGTCCAGTTCTACATTCAACAGTGCTGGATTGGCAGCAGTGAGAGGGGCTCACTTCCCCACCACCACCGTTACCCTTTCACCAAACGTGTGCGCTTGTGCACATGTGTGCATATTGCATAAAGTCCTAGTGAAGTTTCTTGCAAAAAAAAATTTATAGGCTTCAGGCAACACAAAGACCACTTATTGCACCTCTTCCTAAAGCTAGGATTGAGAGGCCATGTGCGTTACCGGACCTTCCTTCCTTCAAAGAGCATCTACTCGCATGCTCAAATATCATTGGCAAGTCCAGCCTCTTGAGATATAAAGCCAAGTAAGTACAAATCAGCAGCTGCAAACTATTCACACTGAATGCTGCTTCTTTTGAAGAGCAGAAGGATTCCTCCTCCTCCGCAGACACATTCAACCCTTTCAACAGGCTTAAAATTTGATGCATTTTCCATCTCTCTGACCAAAGCCAGATCTGAACTTTGATCCACCTTTACAACCGAGCCAGGAGATGGAAGAATTCCACTTATTGATTGTTGGGGTGGTTACTTTTTTTTTCTGTTCGATTGTTCTCTGAAAACATCAGCACAGCACAGGACAGGACAGTCCTACCCACCCTAAATGTGTCGCTATATACATTCTACAGTAAGCGCTATAGCAATCACATGTAAACATCATTGTGGTGAGGAAATACTAGGACAGAAAAAGGCAGAGCTACAATGAGGCACTTGTCAATAGCAGATGCTTCCTTTGGGCCAGGCCTTGCTGCAGACTGATTACAGGAGAACTGAAGAGCCTTGCAATTTCTCAGGAAGTTCCAAGACACAGGTGGCACAAGCGATGTGTAGCGGCAGACACACTGAAATTTTTTTCCTTTTGCAACAGATTGTGAAATCATGATGTTAAAAGCACCACATCAAAAGGTAGAGCTAATCCAATTATTCATACGGATCACTGTGACCTACCTGGTGGCATTTTGGACATGTGCAGTCCTTACTGAGTCAATGGGACTACTCAGACGTGTAAGGCTTTGCACAGCTTGAGCTAAGCCTAAACTGGGAAGTTGCTAAGGTGTTGGCAATAGTTCAGGTAGAATAAATGTTAATGCAAGAGGGACCTTATGGGAAGATAATCTATCTGTTGAATTAAGGCTGTAATAATCTATCTACATGGGATGGCTGAATCCCAGAGGTCTCCCCTTTTTGTGACAAAAAAACCAGACACGGCAACTGATGGAAAACTCAGCAAGATTATTTGGTCCCCACTGGAATATGCTGTCTGTTGACATTTCTATTGGTTTCTTGGTCTCCCTCACATCCCTCACTGTATAGTGTCTGCTATATAGGTGAGTACTAGCTGCTTGAGAATGTAACAACTGTGTGGCAGTTATAGAGGAGATCCTTCCCCTAGCAATTTTCTGATCAGGAAGCTTGCACGAATCCTCTGACCCGGCATTCTGGCTAATATCAAAGAGTCCCATTCTCTAGAAATCATTTCCCTGAACCATAATAAGCTTAGTTATGCTGATTTACAATGCAACCCTAAGCAGAGTTAAAGCCTTGTGTGCCTGTTGAACTTCTATGGTCTTAGAAGGATGTAACTCAATTTAGGATTGCACAAATAGTTTACAAGGCCTCAAGTCTGCAAAACCATAAGAAGCCAATCAAGGGAACAAGCCTTAAGGAGATCAGATCTGAGCTACCAAAAAGTCAAAAAGCTGCAAGCAGAATTATGTCACATTTAGTGCCTTTTGGAGAATGTGGCGAGAGCCACCATTTGACAGAATTATTGATGGGAAGAGCCAGGATTCTGGGATTACTATCGCTATTGTTAGATGTTTTATGGTATGGCTTATTAGATTCCAGTGAGAAGGAGAATAGTGTTTACAATAGGCAGTGATGCTCAACTGTGCTGTTCTGTGCACCATTAGCTGGCTTTGAGCATCACCTACTCCTGTCTAGAGCAATGGCATGAATTCTTTTGCCCCCATTCTACTGGGTATTGCCAAGAAAGCCTCCTGCTACCCATCTGGCAGGAGATGCTGCTTTGGTTAAAATGACCAGATGGTAAAGATCTATTCCTGAGGGTACCACTGATGTGACGTATGGCCTTGAATGGTTTGCTCCCTGTTCCTGTACTTCAAACTCCCACATTTTGTTTACTGAGATCCCATGAAACAACAGCTGCCATCGTAATGTACATTGTGATAAGGAACCCATTGGCAGAATACTTCTGGGGGTGGCTCTCAGACCTTATCAGCATTTCTGCTTTCCTGGCATGGAAGACAGATGGAGCTTTACTAACTTGTAACACTGCCAACTTCATGTTCTTAGAAATTCACAATTTGAAAACTCTGTTCCTATGTATCCAGCTCCAGCTCCAATCTACGGAATCAGTACACTGAGTCTTATGCAGTCAACCATTTGGGAATGGAGATCCTACAAGTCAGCCCATGCAAATGGAAAGAATGGCTTATAGCAATATGGGAAAAAAATCAATAATGCCTCAGTTCATCAAGAGCTGAACTGGAATTCTCCACCAGGGAGGGAAAGCAATTTCACCTGAGCCACTAAAAGGGGGGGTACCCTTCTGGACTGGCCACATCTGCTCGGGGGAGGGGGCAAGTGCCTCATTACAGTGCATAGTTTAAAAATCAAGGAAGCGGTACAATAAATCTGAATTACAGTACATCTGAGCCATAAATACATTATAAGTATATATTTCTTTCTTCTATTAAAAATTAGTTTACAATCCTGATTCTATTCACAATTAACAATTTTATCATCACACACTACAGACAAAAAAAAAGTTATGGTGAACACAGCTGCAACTTCACGGCAGAAGTAGGGAAGAGGGGCCAGTCAGAGAAAGGGGTGGACAAGAAGGGGACAGGAGGCTTTTGCAGCTCATCCTAACACAACCATTCAGAAGCAAAGATACTAATGTGTGGCAGTGGAACATCAACACCATGGGGACTCACAGACAGAAGCAGCTTGTTCAATGTAAACATCGATTTAAAAAGCAGTCTCTCTCTCTCTCTCTCTCTCTCTCTCTCTCTCATCCTTGTTGTATTCTTGATCATTTCTTTGAAAACGTAAACATATTGGAAGTGCCTTGACTGAGGTATTGAGGTATTCCTCAAAGGTTAAGGCTGTTACCGATGCAGGCTTTCCTGGGCCTCCTGTAGCAGGCTGTCGAAATCCATGGTCTCATATTTACTTTTTACTGGAGCTGGGGAGGATTCTTCTGTACTGGAATCTGGTAGTGGGAGAGACCAAACACAAAGTTGTCATGAAGACACTAACCAGAATACAGATGAGCCAAACAATGCATTCCTTTTCCTTAAAAAAAAAAAAAAGCTGTAATTTTTGGTATGGGGGACTTAAAATAACTAGTGCACACAGCCCCAGGCTGACAAAACTGGATTTTATATGTTATCAACTAACAATTAAAACTAGGGACAACTGACTCCCTGACACAAACAACTGTCCAAGGTAAGGACAAAGCTACACATTATAAAGAAGACCTATGACTGGCAGTACAGTCCTGGCCATACATTGAAGTCAGTGGGCTTAGAATGGTGTAACTCTGCTTAGGACTGCTCTGTGAATCTTCCAGTGTTTTCTCTATCTCTAAAGAGAAACTGTGGAGGATATAAAAACTGAATAAGAATATCTGACATTACCCACCATGGTTAATAGCATCTGGAGCATGCATGTGACTACTATCAATGGAATAGCAGCAGGGTCAGGGTGACCTCTGCTTTTTAGTATTAAAAGAAACATTGTAGCATCTGATCCTGGATGTAGTTTCGCCCTACTGTCAGTGTGGGATTTGGTTCACAAATTAGAGGGGAGGATTTGACGGTTGAAGGGAGTTAAAAAGAGACAGGCATTTGTAATAAAACCACTTTGGACTCTCCTCTTGTCTATCTTGAGATAACTGGTCATGTCAGTGATACCAGACTTGCTATTTCCAGGATGCAGAGTCAAGTAGAGTGCAGTGTTCCTTGCAAAGACAAGTGAATGGTGAATGAAAAACTGGGTAGCTGAAATCTCAGGAATAATAAGTCTATGAGTAGAAAGAGATGGCTGATTTAAACACCTCTGAAAGAACTTCAGGAATCCCTGACTGTGCAAGTCAGCCATGAATAGTTATAATTCTGTTGGGAAGGAAATGAGCTGTAAGCACAGCTGATGGAGGAGACAGTGCCATGAAGAGAGGCCATACATCAATGGCAGAACACATGTCTTGTATGTACAATCCACAGTAACTAGTTAATGGGTTTCATGTAACAGGAAAGATTTTTCATTGCCTGAGACCTTCATTTGCTAAATTTGGCTTAGGGTTGCCAGGTCCCCTCATCGCTCTGGTGGGGGGATTTGGAGGGCATTCCAGGCATGGGTGGGGAGGCACCCAAGCCCCACCTCCAAGATCGAACACCTGCCCGGCCACCCCTCTCCCTCCCCTCATGTCTGATTGAAAGGGCTTCAGCTGCTCAGCAAAGACCATGTGCCCTGCCAATCAGCAGGAGGGCCCTTTAAACCTAGCAGAAGTAAGGGAGAGGGGTGGTTGTGGCTTGGCTCACAAAAAGACTGTTTATAGGGTCTTTTTGCAAGCAGGGTGGGGGCCGTGGCATACGGGGCTGATTTCTTTTTGCGAGCCGAGTGTAACTCATGACCACCCCTCCCTCCCTCCTGCTAGATTTTAAAGGGTCCTCCAGCTGATCAGTGGGCCCTGTGGGCCCTGCAGAGCAGCTGAAGCCCTTTAAATCAGGCAGGAGGGGAGGGAGAGAGAGAGGTGGCTGGGCAGGTTGTCACTCTTGGGGGCAGGGCTTCCCCTGCTGGCCAGCTGGCTGGGGGCAGATTGGGCCTCCCCCAAATCAGGGGAACCCCACCCAGACCTGGGGGTTGGCAACCCTAATTTGGCTACTCTTGACTTGAAGAAATCATTGCCAGTAACTGCAGCCCAAAATGAAAGCTGCAGTGAAGAAGTGGATCTTTGTGGCTCATCATGATTGCAGGCTTACCCAAGTCAGTGTATCTGGTCCAGAAGAAGTGCCCGAAGCCACCATAACTCAGTTGGAATGAGGGCTCATTTCTTTTTCGCAATGAGGCACCATTCTTCAGAGATAAGGCGGCATGTTCTGAACACCGGTATGTGATGAAGCCATACTTATCTCCCCTGAGTAATGAAAAGACAAACACACAGACACACAAAAACCCCAATATAAACATTGCCAGCTATGTATGACCCTCCACATCTTCTGCTGACTTTGGCCCAGCTCGCTTAAGATCACGAGAGTGTGTGTAAGTTACAATAAACAAACATATTTGGGTAAGGTAATCAAAACTAGGCACAAAGCAATGTGGTGACCCTGAAATCAAAGGATATTTGCATTTGTTTGCTGATCTCGTATAATGTGTTTGCTTGCCACAGGAAAGATCAAGGGCTTATTCTGGCACTTGATGCCTCAGCTGCTGAAATTTCACCGGGCATTACCCACATATTTTCCATTCTACCTTGAAAAAAGTAAGCTGATCTTCTCAAAAGGTTGAACTGTGCACCCAATACCGGTACCATTACATATTCACAGAATACATGCAGTGCAGCATGCAGGTCAACACAAGGCTGATCTACATATTCAGAAGTCACATGGCGACTCCTCAGGACTTTACCATTTGAGGGTTGGAGGGCATGCCTGCATTAAAGGCTCCCTAGTTGTAGAAAATTAGTATATCAAACAGAACGATTCTTTTTTGTAGCATATTGATTTTCAATGTGCAAGGACATCACATACTATATACATGAGTCCCACTGATCTTGAGAAAAGTGGGATATAACTATTTTAAATTAATTAATACATGTCCAGATGAGAGTGCCTGGATCTCTCTGTACATTTCTGTTAACGTTCCATATTGGCATTATTTCCATTTTGTAAAATTATGTAACAGCAACAGGCATGTGGCTCTTCTGGTTGATGGTGAATGCAAATGCAGCTCTCTGTAAGCCAAGGAGTGAGTTTCACTGGTGTAACCTACTTCACAGTGTTCTTGTGAGGAAAAACAACAACAGGCTCACTTCATCCATGTATGTCACCTTAAGCTCCTTGGAGGAACTGTGGGACATACACATGAGGAATGAATGAATGAATGAATGTACTCTGGTTCTTATTTTAAGATACAATAACTATAAAGTAAGAGTGGCTAATCTGGGTGCCCTCCAAACTGAATATATTACATATGTTTCCACATATCTCTTATTTAGATTATTCCATTATTTTACAGTTTTATGATTCATGGAACATAAGACAAGCACTTTTCAAAGAATTACAGTCCACAATCACCATGACAGATATTCTGAATCCCCCAAAGTGGAATTACCTCAGTGCTGTAGTTATTATACCACAAAAAACAAGCACTTCCTCAGAGAGCAGACATCTCCAGAGTCCCATAAATGAAACACTCCCCTGCTCTCTGGGCTCCAAATATGACAGATCTACTGTTCCCCCCCAACTGCAAAATATACAAGCCAACCTCACAAGACTCATTATATCCAAAAATATTGGTCTGTCATCCCTTGCATTGAGGGAGAAAAAAACACACACCCTTTTTGACCCACCTTTTGTTTCTGGTCAAAACACAACACTCAACAATCTCGCCAAACACTTCAAAACGCTGCTTCAGTTCACTGGAGTTCATACTGCTGGAGAGGTTTTTTATGAACACGACCCGGCCTTCTCCCTGATCAGACACAACAATAACCAATTAGGCAGTCTTTGTACTATTCCTTTATGATTTTACACTTGGTATCCCCATCCCTGGCTTCACCCTAGCCAACAAAGTGGCACAGCTTGTTGTGTCAAAAGACAGGATCAAAAAGCACAAAGTCCATCATTGCAAACAGCTGAGTAGCTGTCACCTGCTATTTCTTTCTCAGCTAGCATTAATTATACACACACACTTACCTTTTTCACACCTTTCTTGCAGGTATCACTATTCTAAGCTTCCTGGCACAGTTACAGCAGAGCTCCAGGGATATATTCCCTCAGTGATATGAACTAGCAGGCCTGCCAAACACTCCCTTATTGCCTTGCTTAGGATGCTGTTGGCAATGCTAGACTGATCCCTGAGTGACTCACATTATGAGAAGGCATTTTTAATCCAGTCAATCCAAATTCTTCTGAGATCCCCGACAGGTGTCAGTGGGGGAGACAGAGCATGAGATTGTTGGAAGAGTAGGATAATTTGGCATAAGGGAATGGTGACACGCAGGAGAACATGGAAGTAGTAGGAAGGATGGAGGAATAAGCAAAACACAATTAAAAATAATTTTCCAAGTCACAATAACAGATAAGTGCAGATAGCACATAACCCATCAACAGCTCAGATTCATTTCTGCAGCAAGGGAGAGGAAGGCCCTACCAAAATCCACACTCAGCTCATTTCAACTCTCTGTTGATGATGTGAGAGTCCAAGAGAGAGAGGGGAAAGAGTGGAAGATGTTATGACTGGGCAGAGCCAGTCCTGAAGAAAATCTACCTGCAAGAAAATCTCCATTTCTTTTCTGGGACTTGCTCTGCCCAATGACATTAATGGGTAACTGAAGAGAGTTTTCGGCAATTGAGACAGTCCATCGGGTTATGCTGTTGTCTCAGGAAAGAGAAGAAGATCCACTTATCATTGTTTTCTTGGAGGCCATTTTGGGATCAAAGTACAAGCAACACACAAGGGAGATCTTCCTTTGTTTTAAGACTAAAAGCAGCTGGAGGGATGAATTACCTAAGGACTATGAAGCAAGGGAAAGGAAGTTAACCATTCTTTTTGTGGTGCTTTTGTGATTTAAAATCCACCTTCTGGAGCTATTATTTGTCTTGTAGCGGCAGCCTTACAATACGATTTTATTTCCTCTGGAGAGGAAGGAAGAGGAGGGATTAATAGAGCTATCCTAAGAAGTTACACCCTTCTAAGCCCACTGATTTTAATTGTATTTAGAATGACACTGTACATCAAAAACAAAAGGGCATGGAGGCAATAATTACCCCCTCCATATACTTTTAAACATTTAAAAATTAAAGAGATCTTGATAATATATAGTTTAAATCCACTGGGATTCCAGGAATTCAAGGCATGAAATTTGATCATTTTTTTCATCATTTATATTCTTTTTTTATTATGAAGGAAAGCAAGAAGCAGAATGAGAACTGCCTTGCTAGCTAAAACAGAGCAAAAGAAAGAGCTTTGCTGCTGAGCAGCTTGGACTCAAGGGCTGCGTGGAAGAAAGTGAAGGTAGGAAACATACCACAGGAGACCCCCCTGTCTTTACATGCAGCTTCAAAGTAAAGTCTCCTGCTCCCCAGTCACTACTACAGAAAGGTTTTATTTTTGTGCTGGTGCAGGCTGCACATGCACTGGTCATTAGTGTGACTTAAATGTGGCTTATTCAGAAGGAGCTCCTACAAATTTTCAAAGCTACAGCCAACTTCCATGCCACCCTTCAAAATGTTACTCTACAGAGAATGATGGGGTGATGAGGAACAAGCACTAGAAAATCTTCAACGTGGTCTCTGTGCTTCACACCCATGGGATCTAGTGTGCACGTGCTTCATCAATCGGTGCTGTAGCAAGCTCTTTTAACGGATTTTCACGTCCAGTCCCTCGGGCATGCGCAGGAACCCCACCGCACATGCCCAGAGGGGTGGGCGCGGACATCCCGCCAGTTCCTTTCTTACCGCCGTGTTGAGTAGACCTCTTCTTCGTCGGTCCGATCGGTTCGCTGTTAGCTTTCGCCTCACAGCTCTTAGGAATTATTTCCAAACTTTCTTTTACTTTAATTTTTGGTTGTTTGTTCTTCAAAAACAGTTAAAAAAAACTTTGTTTTCTGCTGAGGGGAGTTTACCTCAGGCCTTTGGGCTACCCCCCCCCAAACATTCCCTCTTCTTCTTCGTTTCTTTTATGGAGAAGAAGTGGGGATTTTTCAACAGGTGCAAGGGTTGTGTGGCAGCAAACTTGCTCCTCCTGACCGTCATACCCTCTGCATTTTTTGTCTTGGAGAGTCTCACCAGCCAGAGTCCTGTCGTCACTGTGCACATTTCTCCAATCAAACGTGAAAAAATCATGCTGCGTGCCTTAAAGTGGCGCTGCTTGAATCGGCCCTTGCTCCTGCCTCAGCGACAGCTCCGACATCGAGGCCTGCCTATGATGTTGACCACCCAACGCCGAAGCTCCCGACATCAAAGGCACAATTGTCCGCTTCCACGCCAGTCTAAAAGAAGGCTAAGGCAAGTAAGGATCATAAGTCCGCGAAGAAGGGCACCTCCAAGTCCCTGAAGATGGTGAAGAAGGGGAAGGGAGCGGTGTCTGCACTGGGTGATGCCCCTAAAGTGCCTCCAACTGCAGTATCGATATCAGAGGCCCAAGTTCCTCCACCGATACCGACCATCCA